AAGGAGGACAACAAGGATGATCCAGGGACTAAAGGCTGAAGGGTGATATGATAGCACTCTGCAAGTATCTGAATGGCTGTCACAAAGAGGAAGGACAAAATCTCTTCTAGTTCATTCCAGAGTGCAGGACACATAATAACTGACTTAAAAGAAACCAGATTTAGAGTAGACATCAGGAAGAATTCCCTCACTATCAGAGCAGTACTATAATGGAACCTATTACCTGGGGAAGTTGAGGGCTCTCCCTCACTGGGGAAATTCAGAAAGCATCTGGACTGCCGTCTGAATGGGATGGCGTAACTTAGTGTAGCGATAGCAGGGGCTTTGTGCCCAGTGGTCTTCTAGCCCCTGCCAACTCTACTATTCTATGATTAATTCAGAAGAAGGTTCTCCAGATATATTCTGCCAAATGGGTATTTTAGCACTACAAAAGACTGATTAGCGAAAGAATAAGAAACAAATGTCAAAATGATGCCAGCTGCAAAGGTTATCTTGAGTATATGCTGAGCTGTGATATGGTCTGCCCTATAGATTGAAGTCCACAACACACCATGGCTCTTTAAAAAGATGGTTCTTTAAAAGTGCTAGAGAGAGTGTGGGCCCGCATGTTTTAAAAGAAACGCAGGGGAGCAACATTTTTCACTGTATCTCCCTTGATTCTCCCAAGAGCTCATACCATGGTAAATTCATATCTGAGAATGCAAGAAGTAACAACATTCCCATGGAATGGAGCTGCCTTGTCTATCTGACAACGTAATATAGCATTTTTGCTTAATAAAAAATGAGGGCAGGCAAATCATACTCCGAGCAATATTTGCTTGTCATTTAGTAGTATTGTTGGCATCATCTGGAGTCATTACACCCCAGAAAACTAAGCGGTTGTTTAAAAGCTGGCTTAGAATGTGGCAAGAGACTGCCCGGTCAAGGTGAAAGGGCCATGGGGTCTTTAGAAGCAACTGACTCAGCTGCTTCCGTCTCGGAGAGCAGCAGCCAAGCCTCTGGTTGCCATGTGGCCTGCTCTTCCTACAAGTACAGAAGAGCCAGGTAGAGTCAATACAAGGAATGATGCGCCAAGCAGTGGCCAGAGACCAGTGTCCACAGGCCAACACTATGCCAACCGTGATACAGGGTGGAACCATGTGGAGGACAAGGCAACGGTGAGGCATCAGGGGAAACATGACAAAATGGGCTGAGAGAAGAACTGCGGAGTGTGGATGGCTGAAGCTCACATGAGGATTTCAAAGAACGGGCCAAATCTTGGGTTGCCAACCTGTATTTTACTACTTTTTCAAAAGAGGATGTTGAAACTGCTTCAGGGTTGAGCACCTGCATCCCTGCCTCTGCTGGGATCCATGTAAGGTCAAACCAGTGGTGGAGAATCTCAATCCTGTGGCTCCATCCTCCCTGGTATCTCTCTAAAGTTCTCCAGATGGTCTCACCACCTTCCACTGGATTCACCCTTTCCCCCAGTTGCTACCTCTTGGGTGGCTGCCTGGCTTTTGTGCGGTTTTCTCTCATTTTGTGCAGTTTGAAAAGGGCATCCTAAGGGTTTAAAACTACAAAATGTAGGCATGTCTGCCTCATCCCTTTTGCCTTTGGTCTCACCTACCCCTGGAAGGTGGTCAGTGGGAGCTTCCCTGAAATTTAATGTGTTCCTGCAGGCTGAGGGAAGTTCCCCACTCTGGGGCTATGCTGACATTCAGGAGTATGAAGAGTGTATCAAGCTAATCTAAGTCTAAAATGGAATTTGGACAACTAAGGTTCAACTTGTCCCACTTCTCTTGTCACAGAAGCTTGTTCAGACATTCTGCTTTTTGGACTGCGGCCCTTTGCTGAAATGGAGACAGGGAAGAGAAGAGAGGCGATCAGAAGAACGCACACGAGCTGCTGTGTTCATCAAAAGCTCTATTTGCAGTGCTGATAAAAAAGAGAAAGGGATATACATAATGTTCCTGCTAATTGGCAAGCATCAAGCATTGTGCAGTCCTTGGAATCTGGACAACTCTTGTTTGCCTCCACCCAACATGTTACATAACTGTCTGCTCTCAATCACTGTACTCTCTGTACTGTATAAAAGCTACAGCTCACATCCTCCATGTGTTTACATTAATTGCTCAGTTGCTATACCACATAAACAATTCTATATCAAGACAAGCTTGACGGGCAGCAAGTTGGCAAAACAAGAGAGTGGGGTGGAAAAGAACCATCCAGCAGAACAGATTCACCCAGGCCATTAAATTCCTGCAGGAAAGCCAGGAAGACAAACGGCAGAAGTCACTTAAAGGGGAACACCTGCCTCAGCTTCAAGCAGAGACGCACCAGCCGTTGGCCGGGTTGCACTCATCCTTTCTGCCAAATTAGCTCCTCTTGGCAAACAACGCCAGAGCCAAACATTTTCCAGTGTGAGACAAAGAGCAGCAAAAATGAAAAATGGCAATAAAACGAACTGCTAAATGCAAGCAGGGGCACATTACAAAGCTCTGCAGGGTAACACGAGGGAGCAAATTCCGCATCAGAGAATGGTGCTGCTGCATAGCTATAGAGATACCCTGCTTTAATTAATAGGCACTATCTTACTGAGGAAGCCACCGATTCACCTGGCACAGTTTTTCCAATGTGAGGCTATTCCATTCCCACGGGTCCCATCCTTTTATGAATACCTTACAAGGGTGATGAAAAGCGAGTCTCGAAAATACAACCCTGAACCCATAGTTTTTCTTAGTTGTAATTCATTCATACGGGCCAGATAAGGCCTTTGCACAGAAACTGTGTTACATAATAAACTTGCTATTGGGTGGGGCAGGGTGGGGGAACGTGTAGTTAGCTAAATTTATATAAGGACGTTTACCGCACTCAAGCTGCCAAGATTTGGGTTTGAATTAGAAGAAAGCAACACTGAGCCAGTAAATAGCCTGGGAGCAGTTACATTCAGAATACGGTGGGGGAACATTTTCTGTTCAGTGTCCTATTCCTGTTGGCAGGAGGCAGAGCCCAAGCCAAAATTAGGCAGGCCGCCTCGTGTCTCCTCTCTCTCTCGTCTTCTGACATTCTCTGGTCTCCCTCTCTCGTCACCCCCCTCCACCCTGCTCCAGGACATTCTCTCGCTTCCTGGCCAGCAGCTGTTGGGGCAGAGAGAGACCATGCCAGCCAGAAATCGAAATGAAAAGCTTTTGCACAGGGCTTCTGAAATTAGGACAAGGACCCCATGAAAACAGGCTGAAGGCTCCTCGCAGGTTGCCCAGTAGGAGAGAGAACCTCAACCAACCCGCTTCCATCAGATCGGAGAAGATGCCTCCCCCATTCCTGTTCCCAAAGCATACGAAAACTTTGACTAATTTCCAAACTCCGCCTTGTCATCTTCCAATGCTGAAGTTAGTTTATGCTTTTTAACTAGGAGATACTGTGCTGCTTCTCTTATTCTGATCACACTGAACTCTGCCCTGCATGGCACTTCACATGTGCCTATGGCAGCAGAAAAACATTTGGTAACTATAATGATAAATGGCATATAGAACACTGAAGCCCAAACAAAATTCTTCTAGGAGTGTAGATACTAAATCCTTCCAGTCCTAATCAGTCCTGGGGTCTTTCTCCATTTCTATCATGCCTTTCTACTGTAGAGCTGGAAATCCTTGGAATTAAGGCTGTGTTCAGAGGGATGGCTCCAGTCATTAATTGTCATAACTGGGGACATGGTAGTTATTCTGTGATGTTTTATCCCATTAGGTTTTGGCCCTACCATGAATGGGGCATAGCTCCTGGGGTGAGAAAGGAGAGTTCCAGCGAGTCACTAACCAGTACGGCATGCTAAGCACATCTTCCCTTTTGCCTATTTGCCTCCTACTTCTAATGGCCACCAAGGGCACAAGAGCAGGTGAAAGCACAAAGGCTGGCGCGTGGTGGGAGCTGCAGGGCCTTTTTCCTGTTCAAAAGTAAAGACATGCAGCTTCGTCTGCCTGATTCACTTTTACAGCCATTTCAAGCCTTGTGCTTTGGCTGAGAGGAATTTGAGATTGAGCTTGTTGGCTAAAGATGTAAGGGAAAAGTAGGGAAGTGAACAGAATTTTTTGAAAAATCCATTTTTCCTCAGGAATTAGGTGGAATTTTTGCCACAGGTGTGCATTCCCCCCAGTTCTTTTCTATACCTGCCCCCCAGGCCTTTGCATCTCACCCGCCAGCCACACCCCCAGTGTCTGTGCTTCCGCTGCGCCTGTTTTGCACAACATGGAGATGCTGGGATGCAGCGAAGGAAAGCTGAGGCACCATGCAGCTGCGAGGTCTCAGTGCTCCCCTCCGCATCTTCTTCTGCATGGTGGGGACATCGCAAGAGTGACCACCTCATCTGGTGGTCTAACCATTAAACCCAACTCTAACAATTTCCTTTGTTAACCGTGCATTACAAGTAGAAGTATTTCCTTTTATCTACCCTAGATTTACACTCTATTGCTTGCAAGGGTTGGGGAAAGAAGACTCCTGCCCCAAATTTGGTGAGATTTGCTACTGAGTCCCAACGGATGGCAACCTTCTCATCTTGTCGGTGGTAGGCTAAGTCTACCCTCTACTTCCAGGGATTTACCAGCTTATTTCTGTAAACTGCCCGGAAAGCTTTGGCTATTGGGTGGTATAGAAATTTTTTAAAAAATGAATAAACAAAGAAATCCGATGGAATGTGTCACCTCTTAAAATAGATCTAGTTTTGGTTTAGTTCTTTAAACTGTTTTAAGTTTCATGTATTGGAATATTATGCTGCATGTTATTGTGTTTGTATTTTTAGTGTCATCTATTTTTATAATTGTACCTGTGTTGATAAATTGCTGTGAACCGCAGAGAGCTTTGGCTATTGGGGCAATGCAGAAATGGGGAAAAAAAGAACACGACAAGAAAATAGAACTGGGCATTCTGTAAAAGGTGCTTTGGACACCACTGATGATGTCTCCTCCTGCTGCGGTTTCTTACAAAGTCCCATGAAAAAGTGTAGAGAAACAAACAGAAATAAATACCTCAGATAGAAGGGAGACATGGGCCTTTCATCCTCTTGGGAACTAAAAACAAATAAGACATATCTGTTGTTAGTATGTATGTTGCTATTCTTCCTTTGCAAGCTAATTTCCTACTTCATCAACAAGATCAGAGCAGAAGCTGATAAGCCCTGTCCTACATGAGCAGTCCTGCTTTGCTTTACTCTTTAAAGACCCAGACTTGCCTTTTTGTCTTGTGGGCAGGTAAATTAGTAGTGGTGACAGGAAGGTGGACCGGGAGACTTTGGATTGTTAAGCTGCACACTTCCAAGGTCACAAAATCCCAGATCATTTGCTAGCACTCACCAAGGCAGAACAATATTACCATCAAACTGTCAAGAGGAATTCCTGCTGTGCAACAGCTGTTCAGAGACTATTTCTATAACGACACTAGAGCACAATCTAGCACAAGTGTGCCCTAGATTTTGGGCTGCAAGGTTGTGGGTGAGAAGTGCTTGCTGTGGCTCCATAAACACACACTTTGCTCCTAAAAGGAAGTTAAAATTTTATGCACAAAAAAAATTAAAAAATGAGGTGGAGAGAAGAGATGTCAAAAGAAGGCACAGTGTTGGAAATCATGCCATGCCACCAAATTTAAAAGGCTCATGATCTACGATTGTGTTTCACCAGTTTTACATGAGGAAGGGATCAAATGAAACTCAAGGAAATTATACCAGTATAAAACTGGATCATCCCGGGGTGAATTTAGCTTCTGCTAAAAGGTGTAACAAAACCATAGGCAGGACTAACAAAACCTTGCAGCCAATAGGGAGCCCTGTACTCATTTGGGATGCTCATGGGGTCAAGAGCTGGGGCCGTGTTGTCTGTGTCTAAGAAACTCCCTTGCTCCAAGTTCTCTCACACTAAGTGGTACCTTTTGGTTATTCCCACCGACAGCCTGTCCACTTGCAGAGTGTCTCAGAGTCTTGGGATGGGTCACATCCCAGGCCCCCTCTTGTCCTTCACCCTCTTTTTCTGATGACTAACCCACATCCCAGGAGAAAATGTGCCCAAACAGCCATCTTCCTCACTCCCAACGCTAATGTACAATGACACTCAATTGCTTTTCTTCTTGTGGGGCTGTCAAAAATAAAAGCTGGATTTGATTTCTCAGGGTTATGCTCCCTTCCCTTCCCTGTCCTTCCACATAAACACATGGAAGAAAAATTGTGCCAGCTGCTCCCATGCCCAAAATGAGACAGGCCTGGTAGCCACACAACCTAATGGAGTTCATGAGAAAGGCCCATTCACACATAGCACTCTTTCGCACAAATCAGGAAGAGACTTTTGTCGTGCTGGGCTCTCCCGCTCAACGCTGCACACCCACTGCTGAAGCAGCACAACCAGCGAAGGTGCCAGCATTGGAACCAGCAGGTGTGGTACAACTAATGCAGCGAGAGGCAACTGTGTGTTCTCCAGATGTTTGGGCTGCAGCTCCCATGCTCCCTGACTACTGGCGATGTTGCAGTCTAACACATCTGGAACACACTATGTGCCCACCCCTGAATGCACAAGGGTGCGTCCTTCCAGGCAGTCACAGAAAGAAAGCAAGAATCCTGCCTACCTCAGGCTGTTCCTGGTGAGCACTGTTTACAGTCAGAATATGTGATAAGAAGGATCCATCTGTGATCACTTCCACTTAGTTATGCAATCAATAGAGAAACATTTAAAGTACCATCTAGTCAAACTCTATGGGAAGGCAAGAAATATGTAACACATCTAGAGAACCTCTTTGGGAAGGCAAGACTAATCTACATTATGCTTGAGCTCAGGCTTACCTTCCCACAAAAATCTGGAGGGCGAAATAATTCCATGCACCACATGAACAAACTGGGGCTTTCATACTCTGAGCACATCATGAGTAGGCAAAGCCTCAGTGCAGAAGACCATCGTGCTGGGGAAACTCAAGGGCAGAAGAAGAAAAGGAAGACCAAGTAAGGGATGGATTGACTCCATCAGGGGAGCCACAGCCTTGCATTTATAACTACTGGGCATGGGTGTCATGGGCAGGACAGGTTTCGTTCATAGGGTTGCCATTAGCCAGAGATGACTGTTGTTTTCCAGTCTGTGTGGTTACTCTGGAAGGACTTGTTCACCAATTTCTACAGGACCTTCCCAGAACAGGAAATTATCATCTGAATGAATCAAGGTATTAATCAGAGGTTCTCTTCTGTGGTTTATTACAAGGAAAAGATTTCTGTAATGCGCTCTACTTGGGGCTACCCTTGAAGACGGTCCAGATACTTCAGTTGGTGCAAAATAGAGCTGCCAGGTTGCTGATGGGGTCTGGGCGTTGTTCTCATATAACCCCAGTTCTCCGTCAGCTTCACTGGCTCCCTATTGCAGTCCGGGCCCAATTCAAGGTGTTGGTTATGACCTATAAAGCCCTTAACGGCTTGGGACCTGGTTATCTAAAGGAATGTCCGCATCCATATATGCCCGCCCGCCCCCTACGATCGGCAGCGGATGCCCTTCTCCGGGAACCATCCGTGAAGGATATTAGGAGGGTGAGTACCCGGAGGAGGGCCTTCTCTGCGGTGGGGCCCAATCTATGGAATGCGCTCCCCAGAGAGGTCCACCTGGCGCCGTCATTTGCTTTTCGGTGCCAGGCGAAGACCTTTTTATTTAAAAGTTATTTTAACTGTTAATTTATTATAATTGTATTTATAGATTTTAATATATAGCTGAGATGGTACCAGTTTTTAAATTATTAATTGTATTTTTATGTTTATTTTATGGATGTTGTGAGCCGCCCCGAGGCTTTGTTGCAATGGGGGCGGCATAGAAATGTTTTAAATAAATAAATAAGGGCAGGGTGGAGGGAAAATGGCTCATTAAGAAGCTGACTGAACCTACCAAGAAAAAGAAGGATGGAATAAGAACTTCTATGCAAAAGGATTGTTAAACTGTTTCTAACTCAACTGTCCGCTTTTGTGAGAATAACCATTTCCTGGGTACCTCTGTGCAGCAGGGAGAAAGTCATCACCTCTAGAAAGGGGCACAGAAGAAAATTCTAGGATGCCTGCCCATGATTAAGGCAGGGCATGGACCTCCTATAGGAAATCCTCTGTAAATGGACAGAACGGGAAGAGCATGGCTCTCAAATAATAATATCCTAGAGGGGGAGGGGCTATGCCATCCACCGCTGATGGTGTGACTGTAACCGCAGCCACAGGTGTGCCAAGGATTCTGCCCTCTGCTTGAGCCTCCTGCTTGATTACTGGGAAGCAGTAATTTAGCTGGTGGCCTCTCTGGTTTTGCCATTCCTGAGTACTGACAGTGGATTAGGCCAAGCTGAGATGGAGATAGAGATAGAGATGGAGAGCGTGTGCTTGGTTTATAGCACTTTTGCCCTGCAGGGGAACAGACTCAGGGAACGGAATTCCCCTCTGTGCAAATATATCTTTGGGGATATATGCATCCCTGGGCTGAATTGGTTCTGAATAAGCAGATTTGAGCGTGTGCTTGGTTTATAGCACTTTTGCCCTGCAGGAGAACAGACTCAGGGAACGGAATTCCCCTCTATGCAAATATATCTTTGGGGATATATGCATCCCTGGGCTGAACTGGTTCTGAATAAGCAGATCTGGAACCACATGCTAGAAGTGGCTACAGCCACACCCAAGGTGGTTGCAGGCACCCTGCCGCTGGTGTGTCCCCCCATGTGGTCACCCAGACCTGATTCACTCACAGTCACACCAGCCCTCCTCTGTTGCAATCACATTTTCTGTTATCATTGGAGGAGGTGCAATTTTTTTAAAGGGGGAAGCTGCAGAATTGGAGAAGGAGGGTTTCAGAGTGCTTCCCTCTGAAAATGCCCTCCATGCAGCCATCAGCTCTTTAAAGGCTTCCACTGGCACCTATTCCTCATCTCAATATACGGCACCTTACAAAGAACAAAGATGACAGGTTTCCAATCTAACACAGAAACAGGGGAAACAGCAGAAATGCATAACCAAGGGATAGCTAAGCAGAGTAAGAATAGCTGAATACTTCAAATTCCATTTACTCTTGTTTAAACTAGGAAACAGGAGAATGATCCAAAGGAGGGACATGAGGAAGAGGAACAGAGGAAGGAGCTCCAGGAGGCAGTTCCAGGCATATGGGGAAGAATCATTTCAGGGTACAGGAGCCCTTTTGCCTGCTGAGAGCAATGTAACTGCATAAGCAAAGAATGCAGTAAGGGACTGCCAGGACTGAAGGGCAGAGATAAATCTCTGAATGCAAGGAGATGCAGCATCACACAGAGTTGCTGTGCCGTGCAAGAACCTGTCAAGCGGCAAAAGGCAAATGGAGCACACAACTAAGCTCCCCTGAGCAGAGCTGCAAGTGGCCTTGGTGTGTGTGTCAGCTTTCAGACTTCAGGGCAAGGACAGGGAACTGAATTTGGGCCCAAGCTGGCCCACGGCACTGGTCCATCTGACCCGGGGCATCTCACGTCAAGTCCTCACACCCAAGCTCTGTCCCCGTCTGTGTTCTCACCAATGGGGCAAGACGCAGGCCATGTCACCCGAACCAGTGGGTGTGGCACAGCAATGGCCTGGTTGGGAAGAGCCCACATGAAATGAAGCTACGCTCCTGAGCAAAACCCAGACTGAGGCGCTCCTCCATCCGGGGCCCACGGGGTGATGAAGGCTTGATCAGCTTGACACCCCTGGCCCTGTGGAGTGCCTGCATACCAGTCACCATTCTGAGCGGCTGGACTGCCTCTGGTTGGCACTGGACGTGCCAGTGCTGGACCAGAACCATCTCTGATGCCTCAAGCTGTGTGCCTTTAGGCAAGTTAAAGATTGACTTGGCCTCAAAGTTGAATAGTCCAGAGATTCTGCAAATGCCCTTGGAGAGAAGCTGGGCCAGAGCCTCTCACCAGCACCAATGCTTGCAAAGGAGCTTGGCCACAAGGTCCAAATGTTTGTTGAGTTCCCAGAAATTAAAAAAAAAAAGGCAAGGGAGGCAGGAGAACAAACCGAACAACCATTCTATGTCTTTCTCATCAAATATTTGAGTACCTAAAATCTAATCAT